CATTTAGTTAGAGACGAGTTTTTATCACGAGATCCATTACGGCTTTGGTTAACTGCACTCTATACATGGGTCTGCCAGTAACTGTCTACTGGTTCATTACGTCAGATGTCAGTAATTTATCATCACGATCACAAAACATAATGCAACCACGTTACGAGATATCGCCGCAGATATTAAAATATTTAACGAACGCTAGAGTGGTGCCTACTATAGTCATAGGTACGTTTGTAATGCCGGATGATCTTTAGCGACGCTCCGTAAATTCTTGTTTGGTCACGTAATATTAGAACATCTTTTATTTTCTCACAATATTGAAGGTTAACTGGTTGCATCTGAGGTAGCAGACGCGCGGACGTAGGTTGCATGAAGATTGATGCGTCGGCTTAGCATGTTCTAAAATGCGAATGTTACTATACAATATGTGGTCATTTTTAAATAGCTAAAGTAACGTACTTTATTTTGCAAGATGAATATTTGATCTACTATATTAAAGTGTGTTTTGTTTTATTCGTTCGCACCAATTTCTCGCGGCAGCCAGCTATCGCATTAGTAAAATCTTTTTGCATAAATTACCTACATTGTTTATTCTTGAGCAAGATCCCATCCAATATTACTATGACATCTAAGAAAGGAGAACGGGTAATTTATTTAGAACAGTGGTTAGGTCACTGTTTAAATTAGGACCTTGGAGTGAAATAAAGCATAAGAAAATTCCTTAACCAATTTGGATTAAAATATTGAATCTTATCTAGTAGCTACATATTTGCAAGAGATTGCAATAGATGTCTGCAGTATTTCATTCGTATATTGCAATCGGTATATCAGAAATTAAATCGTTGAAGCATTATTCGATGCATTTCATACCAAACTGTTGGTATGTGTGTAAACTCCACGTCTATGTTCGCAAAGTTTCATGTTCGCTGGCAGAATAATTAATTGTCTGATCTAATCAATGACTTAATGATTTCATTAGAAGACTGAACGCTGAACGTGTAGTTATGCGTATGACCATGTTAGGTTGCTGTTACACAACCCTGCATCTTTACAAAGAAATGTCTTTAGAGTCTTTAGAGATAGGAATATGAGAAGGTTATTCAAAATATTAATTGTGACGTCACAATGATTTATTAATTCATTGTGGCCATTTAATCGATTGCACTCAAGGTCTATTGCTTTCTATGTATTTTTGTCTTATCGCTTTTTAATCTATCATTAATGTATCGACTATTATAGAAGTTCTATCCAATTATATTCGGGCGTAGTCTATGTGCATCAGTGCGTGGTTATAGGCTGTGTTGATTGATTGAAACGTCAAAATTCGGACACGGATTATTATTTATTGCCAAGGACTTTGTCGAGTTTAATTTACTTTTAATTTACTTTTTTAATTTGCAAGGTAAATCAGATATATTTAATTATACGTAGGTACTGTTTATGAACAAAGTAGTTTTGAAAGCTTATTAAAAAATGGGTGGCAAAATCTATGTAAAATTCCTAAATATTTAGGAATTTAATAAAAACCAGTCGTTGACCTTGCCTCATTTATTGTATAGTGATAATATGCCTATTATAGAATACCTGCCCACATAGAAACTAATGGAAAACAAAAACGAGATTATTTGACATTTTACTCAAAAGAAAAAAAAATACAAGTAATTTGCTTTTTCCACTTACATAAAAACGATTTAATAATACCTACGATATTATATTATTTAGTCTTATATTTATCGTACTGGTCAGAACGAGATTCTGGTTTGCACTTCGACCTTTTAAGATGACTCGTCGGTTAGTATTTACAATACTTACAGTTCCTAGAATTACGTAACAGTTCAGGAGTTGCGTCAACCGAAGCAGACTTCTTGTAAAATCAATTCGTAGCGAGATGAACAGCAAGTTTTATGTTCATTGCACCTGTATTGATGTAGGTACTCTTTCTTCCTATTGACTTTCCATCTTAGGCAATGAAATTAATAAATAATATTTTTAAATCATTTCGAACACTTTTAAAATTAAGCGAGGCTCGTATCTATGATCTGACTCTGGTATAAAGTTAGGGTTAGGTTACATCCACTTTTAAAGCTGAATGTACCTCTAGAATAGAATGTGAAAACTGTCCAAGTACATTCTATGAATTAAAAAGGTTAAGACATTTTGGCATTGGCATTATACTAAATTAATTGAATACCTATCCTATACCTAGCGAATTAAACAGAGAGATTGTCGTGAGTACATTACTTTCCTCTTTGTGTATGGTAAGATAAGTTATCTTGGCATATTGGGCGTTCAACTACAATCAAAAATTCACATTTTACCTTCGTATCTCTTTCATTGATATTTTCATGTCTAATAAACTTTTTAATTTTACTATAATGTTTAACACCACACGTTAGATGTAAAACCGCATTTTATAACTCCGTTCAAATAGGACATTTCCGTCATTATATATATTTAAATCCATATTACATACCTGATCAGTAAAAGCTGTTTTTACGTAAATCAATAGGTACTTATTACGAGTTAATTGTACTTATAAGAACTTCTAATGATTATTTATGTTGAAAGATTCATTTTAGTAATTTATTATTTTTATGCTTATTAGATGGGGCCATTGTCTTTTATGGTCGTTATACTATAAATAATGTTGAATTTAAAGTTGTATTGCTTTGTTATTATAAAAACAAAATATAATACAATTTATATAAGAGTTTAAGCTCTACATAAATGGGAATGTAGGATAAATATAGGCTATATTTAATATTAAATATATATTAAAGAAATAGTTAGTTATATAGAGGTACGTTATATAACCCTTTATATTACCTTGCAATAAAACGTGTAATATTATGGGTGTGGTATGTTTTATACAATTATATCTTATCTAATATTATAACAGTGTTCACTAGTCTATATGTCATATAAAACATGAAAAGGTTTATATGACAGGTAAATAAGAGTTCAATTTGAAACGCATTTAGTAGATAATATGAATAATTTTTCCTTCAATAATGATGTAAGCATTTTCTTTAAACCTCTATATACTAGTTAAAACCTGACTATATATAATTTTATAAATAAGCTTAGATAATATATCAGAAGGAAACCTATATTTCACATTTGCGTAACGTTTGCGGTTTAAATGCCTGTGTTCTATATAAATTAATATTGGTCAAAGGTGAATGTACTAGCGGACTGTCCTTCCTGATTAACAAAGTAAATCTGGGTACTTAATTTAGTTATATATATTTATTTTTCAAACGTTGCCCCACACTACGATAGTGTCGTGGGTGCGTTTACAAACATAAAATTTCACATACACATCACACTCAGACCAGAAGCAACAATTTGTGGATTGTGTTGTTCCGTGCGGGAATCGAACCCGCGACACGTTGCACGGCAAGCAGTCGGTTTCCCAGCCACCGCACCAACCGTGCAGTCAAAACGTAGTATATGTATCATAAATAATCATTTTTATACCATAGTAATTACTCAGTGTAAATTCCAAATTTATACCTGATTTATATAAATTTAAAAGGGAGATAGATTAGACCATAGTAACAAAACATAATTATGTTAATTAACGTCACACATATTAATCCCCAAAGCGGTAGTCAAAGGTGAAGCGTGTTGCTATCTCCCGGTCTAAATATTTTACTTCGTAGATACTATTACAGAGGAATTTTCGCAAAACCGAAAAGATCTTCGGAATACTTTACTCGATTAGGCAATTGACCCTAAGAACCCTTGCTCAGCAGTTGCACTAGTAACCAATCGAATAATGAGAAGTTCTTATAAGAATACAGTGACTTACAATATTTTAAAAAAGCCAAGTACCTACCAAGATTGCATAAGACGCAAGTACGATGAAAAGGAATGTCACCGTTCTGTTTGTTTCGCAGGTGTACATCGACACGGCGGACTGAATAATTTAGCATAGGATGCTATTTCGCACAATCGAGAATCGTTAGTAGCAGTGTTCTCTTAAAGTGAAAGTCGTCGCATCAAGCGAACTTTCGTTATCTCTATAACTGCCGGGAACGGCCTAATATGCGCAAGAGTCGGTCATGAGTCGTGATTGAACGGGACGATCATTTTCTCACGAATTGTAAATAGAATCTAGGAGTCTGATTGTTGAGATTGATTGTTAGTTTTTCATTACAATGAAATTGCTTCCTGATTTTCTTGGAATTATGATTACATTATCGAGTTTTGTTATACCTTTTAATAATACTTGATAATGAGTAATTAATTTAATTTCAATTCAATATTGTTTTACTTCCATTGGGCGAGTGATTGGTAGTTAACTATAAGCCCGAATACTGAAATTCTTTGTAAAATGACAAAGTACAACTTAAAATTGAGTAGCCATTCAGTATTCGAGCGATAGTCATGTTCGTGATAATAAGTTAAATTTATTTTACATTTTTTTATGAGTAATATTTTATGCGGATGCTATTAATGTTAACTATCATTCCATTAGAAGATTAAAACTGAAATGAATAGTTAAAAAACTTAAATTGAAAAATAATTACGTATAAGTAATTTATATTGGTGTGGAGTGGCTATTATTCAAGGGGCGTGTCCATTGATCTATGTGGGAACTAGGCACCTTTGACCTCTAAAATCGTGTCCATTAACTACAACATAATATAGTATAGCACAGTTCACATTAAACAAGTTGTAACCAAGTTGAACTACATTTTATATGTTTTATGAACCATTATATATTTTCAATGTTAGTTATTGAGGAAAAGGAAAGATTTTTGTCAACAACAACCTTGTTTACATCTTAAAAATAGTATTTTAACTCTTAAAATAATAATTACATTTCAATAACGTCGTATTTGTATTCATTAATATTTCTCCATACAAAAGACATCAACGCGATCACAAATTATCATTGTTGAAGACGCTAGATTGAAATGTATCATCACACGTTATGTATTTAAATAAATTGATCTTTGATAAACGTTTAATTAAATTATTACATGTTATTATTTCAGGGAAGCCAGGCACAGACTACCCAGTTCTTGGTGCGGTGCCATACACAAACTTTTACTGCGATGACCAGCCTTACCCAGGCTTCTTCGCGGATATGGAGACACGCTGTCAAGGTAATTATCAAAAACAAAGAGATGAGAGACAAGAACAATACAAAAATATTTTGATTGTTGCAATCCTGAGTATGTTTCTCACCAACTGTCATGTTCTATGATTTACATTTTTTTCTAACAATATGCCTAAAGCACTTTCAATTATAATTTGTCATACGTATTCAAAACTTTTGATTAGCCTGATGGCATTCTATTGTGTATTGATGTACACCTGCGTTTCGTTTTGGAAAAACGAGATATTAATCTTAGAATAGAAGTGGGTGGAGTTTGATTCGAATTCTTTGTACCTCAATATATAATAAATAGACAAATGATATTAATTAGGACGTGGGTGTTCTTCTTTGTAGTTCTTTTGGAACAATGGTTTTGCGATTTTGTTCAACCTTGGCCGTGCTGTAATGATTTACTTCACTGACCTTATAACTATGAGGTCAGATAAATTATAGCTTGGAGTAACCCGGAACCTGCTCTCGATACGTTAGGCTAAATCGTGAGGACTACATTTAAAGAACACTTTATTTAAGTTGATGGCTCTGGTCTGTCTAACAATAATTTATTAAATAATTAACATGATTTATAAATTTTGTTGACGTTAATTGATGATCAGTTAGAACAAAAAAAAAATACTTCCTGGTCGAAATTAGACTTGAAGAGCCACTAATTTATTATTCACAGTAAGTATTATTAGTTCGAACGTCCCCACAACAGCTTAATTATAATTAACTGTAGACGCAAACAAGCCTTCTTAAACGAATTTGCATAATATTAAGTTAATTAAGCAATCGTTTCCATATGTCTATAGATGAAGTAACTATATTATTAATTTAAGTCAATACGACACCGTGCTAATTGATAAAATAGCCTCCTAAGGTTCTTATTAATTTATTAAATCTTGAACATTCACTTGTGGCTGTAATAAAGTACCTATCTCTCTGTCTGAATATCCTCATGAAGAGCGGTCTTCCAAACCTCATGTCGATTTTAAATTCTCAGTACTGGTATAACAGAAGGTTTTATTTTATGACGTAATAAAAAGCAATAAATACAAACATTAATGGTAAAACAAACATAAGGAAATTCCAAAGAACATAATATTTACGGTAACATTTTGACATCATCATCTATAGAAAAGGTATTAAGTACAAATATTGTTACGTAAACTCATTTATGATCGATGAAAGAGCATTTCAATAACTTCAAGAGATTTATTGAAGCTTGTTTGTCTACTCATACGAGGAACATTTTGCAACACGAGTATGTGACATTACTCAATGTTAACAGTAGTATCAATCAGGTAGTTCGCCCTATTTGTAGGCCAAGTAGATTCTTTAACCTTTTCTTTGAAATATTTACCTTTAGTTACGTTTGTGTGTAAATTGCTCTGCAATAGAATTAGTAGCTGTTTCGCAGTAGTTTCGAGTATCGAGTGACGGCTAACTAATTAGTGACTATTTATTAACTCGTAACTATGTATTTCTATATTGGCTATTGAATGTGAGGGTTCGATGCTCGTTTTCGATAGTGTGTCAAGTATTAAGTTTTATGAGTTTGAGATTCTCAGCAACACGGAGTGTAACAGTGTTCTTGCGGGATTCACATGACAATCACTGCCTAATTATACAAAAATTTTGAATAAGTTTCTTATTGTACCCTAATCATTATTCCACCAATCAACTAATTCGTCACTTTTTTCTATTTAATGTCAAAGAAACGGAACCTAAATAAACCAATGGTCATCTGAATTCTTCATAAAAATTGAAATACTAATGCACTTTAATCTTTAAATTTTCAGCGTGGCACTACTGTGACATCGATGGTCGTCAGGCATCTTTCCTCTGTCCCAACGGGACGGTGTTCTCGCAGGGAGTAGCGTCCTGCGACTGGTGGTTCAACGTGCGATGCGCATTATCCCCGGCGCTCTACCGGCTGAATGCAAGGCTATACCGTCGGAAGAAGCAGACCAGACCGAAACCACATCGCCTCATAGACAAGAAACTCATTTCTGAAATATTTTTGTAAATATTTTGTAGTTATCTAGGTCGTTAATTACCATGAGTTGTTAGATATCTTGCGACACTTCAGGTTAAAAATCTTTAAATTCATAGACATTAAAATAAAATGTAACAATTAATGTTGGTACAATGTTAAATATGTAACAAAGTCATTACAACAGTTAATTTTTCGTCAAAGAATTGATTAAAGACATTGAACACTTCTTACGATGTTCATCTACAAATGAAATGATATCTTAAATAAATTCTCCTTAGTATCCGTTAAGTTGATCTGTCTGCTCGTTTGTCTCCTATTCCATAAAAAAGTTTAGTACAAAATATTTATATTCATATTTTTATATTAAAGAACCCAATAAATAATGATCTTTAACGTTGTTTAAATTTTTAACAAATTAAACTGTAGATTTGTTTGATAAATCGTAGACTTTTTATAATATGTCGTAATTAAAAAAATACATCATAATCTCCGCAAAATTTCAAATATTCAAACATAATTCAGAAACAGAAATGAATAGGTACTATTTTATACGGAAATCAGTAGACAATAGATACACACATAAAGCATAAGTATCTGGCTACTCATGGGGAATAAATGACGAACTTTTATATAAGTAGACTTAGAGCATTTTATAAGTACTTAAATAGAAAATAACGTAGTAATTGAAGTCTTTACTTATGAATAAAAAAACTGTAATTTATTTAGCGTGACACAATCATTGAATATGCTTGAGCATATTTACTTTTTGTATTATGTTGATAACTTAAGGTCTTAAAAGTTTATTTACCACTAATAAGTTTCTTCCTGTAAAAGTACACACTATACATTATATTCTTCTTGGAATGACTGTATATTAATATGTATTTATTTTTTGTAGAGCTGTTTTCTTAATAATTGACAACAATGACATAGATATAAATAATTAAGTGATTTTTTAGTAACCATCTACGTTGGTCGACAATGACTACGAAACGAAATTTTATAATAATGAATAGATTTTCACCTAAATTGCAAAAAGTTTTAGCTGTTAAAGAAATTAATTCTTGATCGAGAGACGAGTTTTTCGTTTTTAATATCAAGTAGCAGTCCTGTTAAATTAGAGTCTACAAGTCCAAAAACAATGACCTAAGCAAATATACGGACAGCTTGGCAAAAAAGAGTTTGGAATTGGGTACCTTCCGTAATCCAAAATAAAATAATTTCGTCTGTTCAATACAATAAAATATTAAGAAATAATCATACTTTCATTAATTGATTTTATGACTAACTTAATTTTAGTATTATTCCGGCAATTTTTTAAGAAATAAGTATGCTGTTCGATACTAAAAAAACGTGACGTCACAATACACAATCTCGTACAAAATTAACTCGTCGAGTACCGGTTTTGTAGACACAATTATAGAACAATAGGTTGCGGTCACCGGTGACCGCTTGGTGTTTGACAGTTTAATAGAAAACTATCGTTTTTGACAGTTCGAAAAAAGTATTGAATTTGACTAGTTGGCAAGTATCCAATTGAGATCGCCAGTATCATACCTGTGGCAGCCTGGTTCATAGTGGCTCAATCGGTTTTGATATTTGTCATTTTATTCGAGCATAAAAAGAGGAGGTACTATGTTCGAATTATTATGTTTATTCATGGATTATAGTACGAAGTGGGTGATTCAGTCCAAGTCAATATTAGTTCCAGCTGTCACCGCGTCAAACTCTTCTTTGCCAAGTTGTAACAAGAAAACTTAAGCATCTAATAAAGTAAGTGACATAATAAGTGCTAATCTCACTGTGATAGAGGTAACAGCAGAAATTAATAACCTTCTTTATTTAAAATCTCTGGATTGATCTCAGTTTTTATCAGAAACTCTTTACAAATTATGCCAAGAATTCATGTCAACCCGGAGATTTCCGATCGATATTTGTTAATAATTTCAGCTATAAGATACGATACTGTATTGTGTAATGTTTATCAACTGACCTGTGTACCATTCTAACAAACTTTGTCTGTATACAATATCGGTAAATGGTCTACAATTCAATAAGTCAATTTTCAGATACATAGGTAATAGTGAACAAGAATATGGACATGGTCTGAAATAAATGATGATTATTATTATTATTATAGTGCAACAATAAACCTTTAAATATTTTTTACTTACAAGTATTTAGAGAAACGAAATATTTGTAGGTATTTCCAGTATAGGTAGTCGTTGTGTGTTTCTAAAAAGGTTATTTTTTATCTTGGTGAACATATGTAACTCAAATTGTCTGATTCATTAAACTGTCAAACACCAAGCGGTCACCGGTGACCGCAACCTATTGTTCTATAATTGTGTCTACAAAACCGGTATTCGACGAGTTAATTGTAATAATCCTATGCTTAACCTTCAGGAGTGTAACACATGTATAAAAACACACATAAAATTACATTACGTACCTATGACCTATCATATAACAACTTATTTGAAGACATCAGTGTCACGAACTCAAGATTTATAAGTTAAGAAGCTTAGTTAAATTAAGCAAGTAAGATTAAAGCACTGCCATGATTATAGACAATGATGACAGATACATATACTTTGTACATACATATTTAATGACAGATTTTAAGCATAAGAAGATATTATTTGTCGGAATTATATCTTACAAAATGTTTTGTTATGATACCTACCATTACACGCTTTAAAGCATGTTAAAAAAGCGACTCTGGTTTAAAATTTTGATTTATAATTTATATTCCTCGGTATATTATAAAGTTACATAGTTACAAATCAGCAATGTTTGCTTTTGGTAATATTGAACGTTGATTTGAGTTAAATCACTACATAGTATAAAACAAAGTCGCTATCCGCCGTCTGTATGTCCATATGTACGCTTAGATCTTTAAAACTACGCAACGGATTTTGATGCGGTGGTTTTAATAGATAGAGTGATTCTTAAGGAAGGTTTATATGTATAATACATACATATTGCACATACAGGTCGCTAGTAAGTAATATAAAGTTACATAGTTACAAATCAGCTATGTTTTCTTTTGGTAATACTAAACATTGATTTGAGTTAAATAAGTGATGACATTTGTAAATATTTTACTGTCATTATTATAGTTGTAATAAAAGCTGTCTGTGAAAGAGTTGTAGTTTTGTAGGAACTTAGTTTTCAAAATGTTCGAAATAGATTTCAATAAATGTTTTTTGTAAGATAAATAAATGTATTTTATTTTTTTCTTTTGTTCTTATCTTACATACAGTTAAATACATATTTAAGTTATTAAACTATGCGTTTAAACTGACGATATAATAATAGACGATAATTGTTTTTGAATTCTATTCTGCTAAACTCATTATTTGCTATTTCATTTAGGGAAGGCAAAAATTGTTGGCTACAATAGTAAACATATTCATTGGTAAGTAGGTATAATGAAAGTACGCGAGTCCCAAACTGTCTAATTTCAACATCATATTGATAGTATTTTGTGCCCACTATGCTATATGCCCTAGTCAGTCACCGAGGGCGAGCAGGTTACCCGACTATAATACTCAAGCCTTCTGCCAAGTGTGGTCCATATCCCACACTTGTACTATAGATCCCCCTTTTCTGAGGACATTTTTTTCAATAATGAACGACTTCCAACCGATGCTGTTACATATATACACAATACACAATCGAAGTATACACATACACAAGTATACACAATTCACAATTGAAGTATAGATTCTAAGATTTTGATATTGACTCTACAATGTTTTACAACTAATTTTAATGTAATTTAACATTATAAATGTTAATGAGGCTGTATGGATATTACCTGTGCTTGTAATTCTTTTACACATAAATTACTATCGTGAGACATACTAAATTAACTAAAATCGCGGGTTTCTCACGTGAATATACTGAGAAAAGCTCTACTTGAAAGCTGTGGTTCGAAACTAGTAGAGCTTTTCTCAGTATATTCACGTGAGTAGCTCGCGATTTTAGTTAATATAAATTACTGTCTGGATTTTGATGAGATTTGCACACAGATAGTTTGTAGTCTGGAATAACATATATGTAGGCTTTTTATTTAGATAAGGCGAGATGAACTGCTGGCTGAAGCTAGATTTTTTTACAAAGGCAATTTTATAATACAGAAGTACACTTAGACACATCCTTGTAGCAAGTTGGTAAAGTTTCATTCTATCAGATCCACGTTTTGCATGAATGCGTATATGTAATTAGTTATTACTACACGCTGATGAGTGTTGACACGCTGTTTTTGTTCCTTTACTTTCGTTAGCTCAAGGTCAAGAGAAATATCTAACAATTGTGTAAATTATTGCATGTTTCATTTTTGCACGTATGATAGTTGTGATATTTGAAAATCTAGTTATTTCAGATTCTATATAGAATTTGTAGGGAATGAAGAATCAATTATAATTTAAACTTGAATTAAAAGGAGGTGTTAATGGTGATTGCAAGACCCGGAGATCGTACTGAAGACGTCCCTTACATTATAAATATGTCTAGATAGAGCGTCATCATACAATAGCAACAATAATGGCGTTGTAAAATTTCTTACATGTGTGCGTGCGGCTTATGGTTTACTCGGTGCAAAAATGATACCAGGTACGACTAAAATTCTCCCATAAATATTTAGGCACATGTACTAGACCATTTAGAAGTAAAGTAGGTAGTAAAATAAAATTGTAACCATCTCGTTGAATTTGATTTTAATTTTTTTCGTATTGAACATAGCGTTGATACATATTTAATTTATTTTCCGTATGAAAACAATCATTTAATAGGTATTCATATTAAAACATTTTTAACATTATTTCTATAAAATCAATTTATAAACTTTAATTGCACCCTTTACATTAAAAAATATAACTAAATCCCTTAATCATTCCAAAAATCGAAACAAACCTTATTTTAGTCGGTTAAAATAATTAATTCATTAAATCATAGGTAACCGTGAATGCAATAAATAAAAATTTATATTTTATTTTTAATTCGCTAGCAAGTGTCATTTTTTTAGTTTTCCCCTCTCGTTGTGAGGGGAATACCGAATGAAATTTGGCAACACTGATAAATTAATATGGCGGCGATTAGTTGGGTTAAAAACATAAATTAAATAATATAATTTTTAATTACTTAACGATGGATAAGCGATACCTTAAATATGGAGCATGTGGCCATTTTTGCAGTGTACTTTTTTGTTTACAAAGGAGAAGGGAATGGCTCCATAGATTCCTGGGCCCAGGTGTTAACTAAATGAAATTAGCCTTATATGTAAGAGGATATAATATCAAGGCTTAACTGAGAAATTGGTGAAATTTGGCTTCCTAGAAACCAAGTTATCTGAATTATAGTATAACATTGTGATTCTTTTGAGTAATTTCTGAAATACTTTTGAATCACTCACTTTGCCACTGACGAATAACTGTTAAAATCACTTCATTTTCCAAGACTTTTCTTCCAATAGGATTACTGCGACCAATCGCAATCGTACAATTTATACAGCGATCCATGTCGTCGATATCCAATTGATAGGGGTAACAGTTGTCCAAAATAGAGAGTCAGATAATTCAGAGTAGCAAGATCCGTCGTATAGTCCGTTATAATATGCAAAGCCGAGGTCGTGGGTTTAAACAATATAAAATAAGGAAAATACGTGCGCACTCAAAATGAAAGTAAACAAACAAGTACATCTGTCAGTCATTGTCAATCAAATGCAAGCACAAGGGTTGTCAGAAAAAAAAATACACTATAATCGATTAAATTGATTTCACGAAACCTTAATGAATTGATATTCATAATTATACATATTAGCTTCTACCCGCAACTTCGTACGCGCAATCAAGCGAGCAAGCGCTCTTGACAATAACAAACACAACAAAAAAAAAAGATCAGCCAAATATTCTCAGATTTTAGCGATTTATTAATAATTGATTACTAGGGCTTATTTAATCGATCAATTAGTCTTATTATCTTAATTTAAGTTTCTCGCTTCTTGGGTAGAATCCTGGTACCAAATTTTGTAATTTTGTTTAGAAAAATGTACCCGTTTTTTTGAGACATATTTCACGTAGTCAACTGCTGGACCCAGAAGTCCCCCTCTCCTTTATTTTGTAGCGTGCATGACATATTCAGTGACGTCTACGTGGCACGATGGCTACTAATTATCGGGAAATTGTATTGAAGAGAATAGTTTACTGAACATTTTTTAAAAGCTTTTCGTGACCTGACACTCCATCTAGACATTGCATGCATAATCAAAGACAGGTCCATAGGTCAATCAAGCAACTCCAAGCCAAAAGCATGCCTACTATGCTTTTGGCATATACCATAGAATTTTATTAATCTAAGCCTACCTAATTTAAATAAGAATTAGGTAAATATTGTTGGTTTCGCAATTTAATTGAACTAGTATGATATGAAGTGAATTTTCACGCATGAAAATTTTTTATATGCATCCTCCTCCAACATCGATTACAAGAAAATGTAAAAGATATTTAATAGTTTTTCTAAATCCATTCATTTATAATTTTATATCAATACGAATATTCTAATACTTTTCTTTTGCGTATTTAGTACCCACTTACATCTGTATTGTAATCTGAGAAGTAGAGAAGTGCAGTGTGTATGACAGGTGTCTACTAGTCGACCTCGAATTTGAACTCCGTAAAACCTAACAAACTTTTCCTCGTTTTTAAAAGACCCCCAAGGTCGTTCAGCAGTAAAGTAAAACATTTTTTATTGTAATAAGTTAAAATTCAATTCTTATAGTAAATCCTTGACTACAGTGTTACAGCGGGAAGTTACTATCACATATGTATGGTATAGACAGCAAAACATTCTCACAAGAACATTTAATAACTAGCATTGTTCTTTAGTTGTATACAATGTCGATTCAAAACCAAGGGTCGTCGATATGAATTGCCAACTTGTATAATGTAACCGTGGGAATCTTTCGTGGTCATGATGCAGTTTTTCTTCATTTCATAGGAAGTAGTTGTTTTGGGGAACCGTAAGGTTAATTGACACTTAATGACATTTTTAGACTGTTGCGTTTTAAGTGTTGTTGTATTGTATTGTTAATGCATTTATGCAGTCATGGAGAGGCGTCCAAATTACGGATGACGTCAAATTATACGATCAGGAGTTGAACTGCTTTTGCAAAATAAAAAGAACCTATGTGTTCAGAACTTGTAATAATGTATTTGTGTGAATCTTATGTGTAACTTAAGTCGTAATGATTTGTCACAATTCGCTAGAACAATTAGCGTAGGAGATAATTCAGTATTATTGTATTCTGATCATTTATACTGATAATATTTACGAGTTTGTGTTACGCGCTTACTAGTATTCAAATTAAAATATATCTAATTATGATTGCCACCATTAAAGCTTAGACAAAGAATTTTGTTCCCGTTGTGGTTAAATTCTCTTTATTTGTTCTAAAACGTGACTTCATTAAAGGCAAAATCTTGTGGTCATACAAATTCGAATGTGGGCCAAGTGTTCTTTAAACATTACATGCATAATAGAGATATAATTTAGTACGTGAAGTAGGAATGTATATGTATGCTAATATTACAAAGCAGATTTTAAGTAATGGTCATTACCACGTAAAGATATTGATAAGTGTTTTATCTGTGTCTCTACCTCAAAATAATTTAACACTACTGTGACATTAGGATTGGATTGACATAGGATTATTGTCATATGCAATCTACGTAACAACTAAATATGCATATTGGTATAAAAAGGTTATCAAGATTGTTTTAAATAGAATTATTATGCACATGCACAGAAACCACACTTCAGGTCTGTGGTTTGAATACACAGGAAGAAGGTTTTATGCCGACTAAAAATTCAATGCAGCGTTTCTCGAGTGTAGCGGTCATTCGACATTCGTATCGCGAAGCGCGCCAGACGCACGCGCGAGTTCGGCCGTTGCGTCTTTACGCGGGAAATATTTACGTCATTGTTTACGTGAACTATAGACAGTATTACATGAATGAATATCGATAAAAAATAATATATTAACTATGGATTACAAAATGGAGATTGTTGCGCTGCTTTTATGCGGTGAGTACCTACATAATTAATGTTATTGATGAGGATAAGTAAGTGTTAATGAGGAAGCTAATTGTTAAAGTTATTCAGACAGTGATTGCTAAGTATTGAAGAATATTACATTGATTTAAATTGGTCGGTTTGATTGTTGGTTTTATTGTAAATCATAAGCAATTTTTAAAGTACTGAACTACGGACATCCTGAAAAAGACAGTATTCGAAAAATATTCAACTCTGTACAAATATTCAGGCGTTAACAGCGAAAAATCTCAAAAGCGCCAAGATTAATATAAAATCTATACGCACACAAACAGCGGAATCACGCTGAAGGGACTTCAGTTATGCACTCAACCTCTGTTTAATTATGTTAATTACCTACTGCGGTCCTCCTTTATCGTCCGTTGTTACATAATGACCTAACAAAAAATATATACCTATATATACTTACACTTTATATTACTGTTTCCAAAAAATAGGATAACTAAAGTGTATGTAATAAATGGGTGGTTTTAATTAATTTATCTTATTAGAGATTTTCTAACAGACAAACGGTACACTTTTATTAAAATAATTATTAAGAGCCTGTTGCATAATGTCTTCTTTAGTTCCTGTAAACTTACCTACTTTTTAATTACTGGCTACTTTTTAATTATTGACCCATATTTCGAAAATTTTCGTTTAATGGAATCCTTGTCAAATCATTAGTCAGTTAAACTAAGAGAAACTTAATCAGACGATGTGTAACAGGCCCTTAAATATGACGTTCACTTATGTATTCTCGACTTTGTTCTCATTTAGCTCACTGTCAATGTCTTCTGAAAAACTGACTGGTTATATTGACAGAGTGGTTTACGTTAATTGCAGTTGTGTCGCGATCGTAATTGCACTCGGCACTCGTTGCTAAGAAAACTCAATGTTGTCTTGTGCACTTATCTCAACGTTCACTTCTTATAAATTGTTCTGATTTATTTTTTCCTTGAAATATAATAATTTACTAGGTAAATTCTTTGTTAGAAATACTTTTCGACCTTGTCTACATTTTCATAGTAGGTGTAATTTACTAACGATAGTTTCTAAGTAGGTGTCTTATTAATAGTAGTATTAGAGTCGATTTCTAGAAAGCAAAAGATATCATTCATTAATGCATATATCTATAATAATTATGTTTTCCTTTTACAACTGAAGATAGAAACTTACATTGATTGGTTGTTTAATTTAGCTAGAAACTAAAGTGTAAATGACGACACTTGGGAGAAAGAACAGAAACATATTATGATATAGCCATCTATATCATAATATTGCTTTACCATTAAAGCAAGAGATTTTTTTTCTTCCATAGCTTATTAAATACTTCCACATACCATAGTACTTTGTTTTTTCTTCCTTTGGCAACCGAGTCTCCAATACGATGTTGTCGACTATACTGCCTACCATAATACAGTAATTAATTCAAAGTTCTAAACGTCAAACTTGCTTGAGTTATATAAAAAAACATAACAATCAACGCCATTTTCGCAAATATGACATAAGGACGAGAATAACAAAGTCACACTGTTAGATATTCGTCCTACTAAAGGAATTAAAGAAAGCAAACAATTATGTAACAGTTTGATAAATAGCAAAACATCGATTTGAAACCTGTTCTCAATATACCTTAATATTCTCCAATGTAAGAGAGAGGAACTTAAGTTTTGCATGATGTATTAGGGCACAATACATTTGCATAATCCTCACCTGCTTCTGTCGCAACTGTTATGTGAAGATAAAGTAGGCACAAGTATAACCACCTAAGTAGTGGGTGGATAACTGTATCGCAATTTCGACGCCAATGTCTTTTTTTAACAGACTGTCGACATCACACGATATGTGGTTTCATATAACTTTAAAATGTAAAACAATACGTTGTGAATTTGTGAATCAAAATTCCGTCATCGTCATGAACTTAAATTACTTTATCTTGCCGTGACCAAAGCAGTATTTAGGACTTGGTATTTTGCTGTGAGAAACGATTGGTAAATAATTATAGAGTAGCGTTAATAATTAAGTATTTTAACGTATCATTACGATTGTTTTAGTTTTATTTTGGTAATTGAGTGTGTATTGTTGCTTTGAATTTACAAAATATTTGAGACCAATTTATTTGTTTCTTGCATTGTGGGAACTTTTTTTAATACTACTATCGTTAACAATGAAGATTAATAGCTTAAGGATCGTCTAGTAAACGGTCACCGTAGTCTAAGCTACACCTGTAATGCCAGAGGCATTAGTCGTTGTATTGACTACAATGACCATTATTGAAATTGAATTTAAAAAATTGGAAATTTTATAATTTCAGCATCATTTTCGAGAAGCCCTCTTTCCTTTAATGTAAACGATGGTGTAATGAAATAGATTACAATCCTTATGATAATACGGCTCTCAATATTTTTGTAATCTTATAGATAGGCATTTTGATTCATATTTTAGTACCGCTTCAATTCTAATAGCACCGAGTTAGTTAATACTTATATCAGATCTATTAATCTAATACATATTTGAACAGCAAAAAATAGTCATATAGCTTTTTAAGGTGGGTGTGGTACGTGTATGCGTACAGGAAACGGATGTACGTAAGCTCTCGGATGTAATAAATTGTTCGTCCCTCTACTTGTACTAAGATTGTGTAGGTACGCTAATCGACATTACTCCACTCGACTGATGGACACTTGAAAAGCAAGGAAATGTTTTTTCTTTTTATCAACATTTAAATAGCTTTCTCCTAGGAGTAAACGTAATGAGCTTATTCTCATTTCCGCAATTAAATATATGACGAAGAAAGACACATTAAACGTGGTTTCAAGATGATGGAAAATGTAACAGTTTGTGGCGATGTTGTGAACAATTATCATCATCCAAATGATTTACTGAGACGTAAATAATAGCTCGTAATATGGTTTGATGAATTGAAGGTGATTTGAAAGTAACATAAGCACTACTTAATTTCATTGGCGTTTGAGAGACTATCGTTGTATTTGATTTATTTTGAACAGCCGATTAAATAATGTGAATTGATTCATTAGATTAGATATTAGAAGTTTAGATGTAATAAAATTGATTGTTGAATAAAAAAATTGAAATTGAATAAAGGCAAGGTTTATTCAATTTTTTAATGTAATGCACTTACATTTCCTCTGGTATGATGTATGATGTCCAAGAGCGGAAGTCACCCCTCACTCCCTTAAATTATATATCGTATACCTGATCTACTATGTACGGACATAATTAATCATAATTATAATTGATTTTATGTAAATACTCATCACGCCTTTATACCTGAACGTGTGGTAGAGGTGTACCTACATTACGGCACTTAATGCCACTGTACACCCACTTTTCACTAATTACGTTATGAGTCATATATAACATAGAGCCTGACAATTCCAGACTCCGTGCTACTACCGAGATTTCTTTTTAAACTCTGCAATATTTTGCTGGACCTAGGAATTGAAACCAAGACCACTTCCCCGGCAATAACACTTGCGACCACTCGGCCAACGAGGCAGTATATGTAAATAATATTTTAATATCAATTGATGTCGATATCTTTCCTAAACGAATGCTTCGGTTCTGATTGCTTGTGTTGTATGGCTACGTGCCCGTCCTTGTCACGGCTCATAAGTATCTGAATACTGTAATGGTTGAACAGTTCAGATGTTGAAAGTTACCACCTAATCCATTTTATTTGATTTATTTGTTTGATCAGTACGTAATAAATATTTCCGTCGTTTTTGTCTTTGTTTTACTTTCAAAAACGATGTAATAAATTTGTTTGTAGATCGTTATTCTATTTTCGAATCGTTTTTATGGTTCGAGAGTTTTCAATTTACATCTTTTACATTATCTTGTCAAAATTTTATCTAGTTTATTTTGATTTTATTTACTTTATTTTGAAAATGTCTTTAAATAATTCATTAACTGTTTTGGAAAGTCTTTATAATGGTTTTTAAATAAAATACAGTTACCCGTTTGTGACAATCATCACTGAAAGTATCACTACGTACTTATTACCATATTTTATGCGCAGATAAAGTCTATTCCTTCATTCTATTAGAACGAGATTAAAAAAAAAAAGTTAACTGAAGTCGAAGGTTAAGTGTGAAGTATAAAAGTAAAATCTCCATATCTTAATACTCACAATCAAAAGCTTCTTACGTTTGCATTAATACCTGTAATTGAAATACCCACAGCCTTAAATATATTTAGAAGTAACCCTTTATTTAATCAATATTAACTTAGAGTGGAATTTAAAAAAGGTATAGTCTGTAGACCTACCTATCTACTATATATATGTCCTTAAACTATGACCAGACGGCAGACATCATGAGTTGGATATCAGCATCCCTTATTGGTAATCTTAATTCAAATCTTCAAGTCACTTTAAAGTCAAGTCCCTTTAGAGAGAACCCCTTCAACAGTGATCGTATTTAGGCTTATGATGGTTTAGATATATTATCTTATAGCTATCTATTATAGCTATCTTGCAACTACAAACCTAAGGGGCAACTAGTGAACCATAAATATAAAAACACATCTTACGCAGGTACGCATTATGTCACGATTACACTTTCTTTACTATTTCTTATATCACAGTTTTAAGTAACGATGGTCATAATTGCTTACCTTAGTTAGTTCCGGATAATAGTGGTTTAGCGTAGAGTAAACGTTGATATTCTTTAGCTAGTGGTTATCATAATACAGTAACAAACAAACCTTTGTTAGGTACAGTCGAAGACATGATTTTTCTTCAAATAGCGATAAGATAGATGGCAAAAGAGAAATGCTAGGTAATTCAAATTTCGCGGATGACTTAACTGGTGACCGAGGCTCCGTTTCGAAGCGTACAGGTACTCCTGGTACTCTGTTTCTACTGGAACAGGGTGGGTTTTAGTCAGTAAGAGTCCAACACCCGTCTGATATTCCCTCTCAAAAAAAGGTAATTCAAATTTATTTATTGAAATAGGCATTAGTCGGTC